CTGGCCAGAGTATGGTATATTACATTAATATATCATCAGGTGAAAGCTTACTATAGCCATACCGAGTATCTTTTTCATCTACCCAGTAAATTTCTTTTCCTGTTTGGTATGGAGGTAATACTGGGGCATCTTTACTATCAAAAGATCCAACTAGATGGTAATGTCTACCATTCTTATCTATGGCCTTAAATTTCAACCCGTATGTTGCATATAGTGCTGAATTCAGTAAGCTGAGTTTCGCTCGAACTGTTTTTAATCCTGATTTTTTAGCTCTGCGTAATACATCCGTATTGTCGAATACTCAAGCCATTTTGGGAACTAAATCCTGGAGATACAATATCGATTCAGGAGAATCAATGTATGTTTTAACATCATTAGCTTTATATCGTAATCTATCATCGATGTCTCTAACGGGTGTACAATTTCTTAGCAACTCCAGACAAATTTGATGTCTTTCCGTACGAGTGGCAGTTGTAAGTCTGTCTTCCCTGTAATTTTTGCGGGTGATAGCTTCAACGACTGTTTCATTGTCAGTACCAGCATCTCGTAACTGCTTATAAGCTCTAAACCATCTCATATGATTATAATCCCCATATTTTGAAATGAAATCTTCAGTCAATGATTCAGACGAAATTTCATAACAATCCACAATATGATGTCGGTCTAAAGAGCGTATCTCTTCTAAAGTCTTTCTTGGTTTATTCTCTAATAATTCAGCAGTCTCACGATTAACAATAGTAGCATTAGATACATCTGCTATCTCCTCTGCTTTAATGGTAGAGGAATATGCCTTTACTGTTTGGAATAATGATATCGTAGTATTTTCAGGTTTAGAAATGAGTTCCATAACAGAAATTACTATACCTGCCTCTCTGAGAAAATCAACCATTCTCTAACCAAATAATCGCCGGGAACGGAATTTCTCTAACATATATGCTACCCATAATTGAACAGTTGGTACGTCTTTATTCTGGATGATAGAGTCTATATCTGGAAATATTCCTCTATTTTGAAGTTCTCAGGGAAGACATTCGTATTTAGCATTCAATAACCACTGAAATAGTCCCTTTTCTATAATGGGAACATTAGATGATCTTTGTTCGATGTGATATATATAATCTTTAATGCATTGCATGCAGAATAACATCTGATTCGTTTCAGCATTTGTTTCTATATAGCTATTAAAAAGACAGAATGCCCTTTCGAACTTAGGATTAATGTAAGATACTCCTATTTTTAAAGTGCTAGTATAGGCAACTAGGTCTACATCTTTCCATGATTCTTCTATGTTGCTGAAGTCATGAGCTTTTTCTACAGGATCAGATTTACCATGATATTCTTTTATTTGTAGTTCTGAAAAATCAGTCTTAAGAGCACGAACGATCCCTTGCATATCCTTCCTAAGATGGCAGATAAATGAAGCACTTTTTTGATTCTTAAAAGGTAGTGAAGATATTTGCTTAGCCCAATCCCAGAGTTCAGCTAATACAGCTTCTTTATTGGAAGCCAAGCGGAATGTCTTACCTTTCTAAAGCTGGTAGGTATTATGAATAATGGAGAAAGGTATATCCTTATGAAGGGCCTTAATCCATTCGATATTAAGGTCAGTTAGATCATTATCCATGATGATAATGCGTCTTGCATCTTGGATTAATTTATATAACTTTTCTATCGATTGCCCGGCCAAATGACTTTGTGCCTGAGCAATTATAGACACAATTTCATCAAGCCATAAGTTATATTTTATTGAAAGACATTTGCATTTTTTATTACATTTACAATTATTAGTAATACGATGTAAGCTTTCTATCTGGCAAACTACCCTCTTATGGTCAGGAAGATTTATATTACCATCAATATCGCAATATGTCTTAAGATTAAGTCTAGTAGAATAAGAGTGGCGTGTAGACAATACTAGTAAATTCACATCATCAGATATAGTAAGGTGTTCGAAAACATATGTTTTTCCTGTTTCCTAAGGCGACCCTACATAAATATCACCTTCATTTGGCAATGGTCTTACATATCGTTCCTCATACATTTCTGTCGCTGTAAGGGTTTCATTATACTTAACCCAGGGTGGTATTTTTACGAAGGCTTTAGGAAAACCTAGACCCTTTATCCTGTGAGAGGTGGAAGATAAATTTTTATTTTCTCGTTGAATTTTTTCTGCAATAGATGGGTCGCATTCAAATACTTCCCCTCGCTCATCACTATTTTGCCAAAAGCATTTTACAATAAACCTTCCACTACTAGCACATATACGGCCGAACCACCGCTGATCCTTGTCATGTATACGTTTGCAGAGTGGACATCCTAGTGGGGCTTTCCGGTTAAAATATACAAAGTTTTCTGAGTCTTTTTCTTCGATAGTCCAATCCCTAAGATAATTAAAATATTTTTGCAAAACAAGATCCACGCATTTTTGTAGTATATCATGACCTACGATTATCTTTAGTGGACTATTATTTTTTTCTATGCTAAGCATTCTAGGTCTTACTTTGAGACCCAAATTAGAAGGTGGTTGAACCCTAGTGTGATCAAGTTCATTCCAGCCATTAGTTATCGAAGATAACAGGATATGCTTTACACAACCTTTTTTTGCTGAACCGATTAGACGAAGATTAAAGTTTTGATCAGGTAATCCTCTATCAATAAACCTGCCGAATTTTTCACCTGTCAAGATGTATACCAATTCTGTGAACGCTTTAAGCTCATTATGGTCGATAAGAAGCATCGGAGCATATAAAAGATGGTAACTACATTTACTAGAGTCTGATGATGTAGCAATTACTAATCCTTTAAGAATGTCTTCCCAGTCGCAGTCAAGAATTCAGTACAAAGCTCTTATGAAAGAGCAACAGATTCGGATGAATACACTGTCAGACTTAACTCCATTTACTTTCATATCTTCCTGTGTAGCATCAATATCGATTACAGCCCTTAAAGATTTTTGCCCGTTAATACATTCGTGAATCTCAGGAAGACCGTATACTTCTAAGATATCATCTGCAACGGAAAATTTTGGGACCCGATCGTCTTGATCGATTTTGATAACCAATTTATTTTCAACTTCATCCCGGTCATAGGCGTTATACAAGCAGGAGCCTTTTTCGTTTGGAAAGAGAAATGAATAGATTGGGAGATATTCCAATGACCCCTTTTCATCTGACATATCTCTAGGTGGTGATAGGAAAATTTCTCGAATAGCATTTAGCAAGTCCTTGGAAGAAAAATTATCATTAAACTTTTCCTGCCTTAAAGTATATGCCACATTAATCTTTCGCTCATTTACATTTGGTGGTTGAACCAATGGAGTCTTGATAGTGCTGGTTGAAGTGCAGGAAGCTTCTTCATTATCTGACTCATAATTAGACTCATAGTCATTATAACCATCTGACCCTAAGTCAGATCTATTATCAGTACAACTGCTTAAGTTACTTAAATATTCATCGGGGTCAGCGCTGTCATAGCAGAAGGCTGGGGCAGTTCCAGTACGATCAGTTTGGTCAGAAATAGTTGAGGTATACATGTTGACAGTAGGTAAAGTTATTATATCACAATATATTTCTGAAATGTTTAATTAATTTTTTTTCATCTTTTGAAAAAAGAGATGTATAGCAACCTAGTAAGCGAATCGTAAATAAAAGGCAAACGGATATATCTGAAAAAGTATAGTCTTCTTCAGAATCTTTATATAAAATAATGGAAGAAGACTACACTTTTCTAGATATATACTTAGGTATGTATAGCCTCCGTGAAATATAGAGGTATACAAAAAGAGATACAAAATTGGCTGGCCCTCTTGAACAACTTCAGAGACTCAAATAAATACATTTTCTCTAGGGTAGTCTTTTGCGTAATTATTATATAAAATATTGGCAGAAGACTACCCTAATACTAGTATATACTCAGGTATGTGATCCAGGGTAGTCTTCTTCAGAATCTTTATATAAAATAATAGAAGAAGACTACTCTATTACTAGTATGTATCTGGGTGTGGCATAAAGGCTACATCTCGATGATATGTACTTGGGTATGGTATAACCTCCGCATAAGACTTTGTCAGCAAAACGTAAAAGGAAGGCAACGAAATATACAATTGAAAGTAAAGGTAACTCCGTAATTATTATATAAATATTGGGAGAAGCCTTCATCTTTCTAGATATGTACTCGGGTATAAAGACCCTCATTAATGCAAACTAGCTATACAATTCTGACCTGGTCAGAATCAATATATACCGCCTAACCGGCAATCAAAATTGGCATACTTATACCAGCCATCAAGAAGAAAGGCATCCGGATGCATCTGGGTATGTGTATTCAGGGTATCCTTCTTCAGAAATATAAAAATATTGGCAGAAGCCTAATAATCCCAAGAAAGATAACAAATGTGCCACTAGTTCCAAATACTAACTTAAGACACTAGTGCCATATTTATTTCTTATAAATTCATTATCACATATGATGACATATGGTATCTTCCCAATTGTGGCGTCCCCATAAATTTTTCTTATAGGGACAGAGAATTTTTATAGGAACGCTCAGAAAAAATAGCATACATACTACCTCGACCCAGTTTAAGCCATGATCGGACGAATTTTCAGAAAATCTCATTATAGAACCAGGCAATCAAACAGGCGTAAAGAGCCAGCACTCTCATTATAAAACCAGGCAATCAAATAGGCGTAAAGAGCCAGCATCCTTATTATAAAACCAGGCATTTAAACAGGCGTAAAGAGCTAGCACCCTCATTATAAAACCAGGCATTCAAACAAGGATGGAAAGCTAATACCAATAATATAAAATAGGGACAGTTTGGTACAAAACGTAGTTTACTTATGCCCATAGTCTGTATTAGGACTTATCACAATTGGAACAATAAAATCAGTGAAAAAATGTAATAAGAAACAGCTAATAAAAAGAAAATCTAATAGAAAAACAGGTGACATGGGACAGTTAGTAGTCTAGTAGCTACAACATAGTCTAAAGTAAGCAGACTATGTCCTCAGTTTTAAATGTCTGTACTGGTTCATACTATATATATAGTATGGACCAGTACAGACATTTAAAACTGAGGACATAGTCTGCTAGTATTCATAATGGTAAATTATAATCAGGTCTTAGATCTTTAAATAGATCTACAATAAATGAATTTTTGATTGTATTAAATAGAATACAAGCTATAGCCTAAGCCTTTAAAACCTTTTTATCAAATTGATTAATAATAGATTTAGGTAAAAGATAGTCAGATGTAAAATAATCTATAATTAATAGTTGAGTTAAGTTAGATAATAAGAAAGATGGCTTAGAATTATAAGAAATATTTATTTGTCAGTTGGTAATTTTTTTACATCAATATCTTAATATTTTTTCAGGACATTGCAAATATTTATTTTGCTAAATGTGTTTTCATATTTGTAGATTTCTCCTTAATTAGCTTGTTTTACAATATAAACAAATAGCTTTATAATGTCCATTACTTTTTGTACATTTTATTAAAATATTTTCAAATTTTAGAAAACAGTTTTATATTAATCTTTTTTTTTTTCTTATTTGCCACTGCTATTATTAATTCTTCTTCTTCTGATAACTCAGAAGTAAAAAGAATTAAAAATTCATCAATAGCTCTTTTTCTTTTATGATTATTTTAATTATTTTTAATACTACTTTCTTCACACTTTATAGTAAATAATTTTTTTTAAAAAAAAAATAATGAAGTTGCAAAGTTATATATTGAATTTATATATAATTTACTTCTGAATCATGAAATAAAATAGCAATTACAGTTTTATTAATTTATTATTTACATAATTAAAAGTAAAAATATAAAGAAGTTTATCTATATTCTTATCGATTATTACTTAAATCAAATACAACACATACAATATTATGATATATATTATACATATATTAAAAAGTATATAATACATTAAATATTAATAGCTACATCAAACATCAATAGCTGTGATAAACTATTTATAAAACACATTGTCATAACATATGTTATAAAGTAATTACCCTCTATATAAGAAAAGTTTGCATTCTTATAAATAATAATAATATAATAAATATAATTTATTTTCCTTCTAAAATTCTTTTAAATCATTCTAAATATTCATTATCATAATATCATTATTTTTAAAAATAAAAATAAAATAATAAAAATATGATATATTTTTCTTCTAATAATCCTTCAAATTTGTTTAAAGTATAAAAAAATAATAAATAAAATAAAAAAATAAAAACATCTATTCTTTTCTACTAAATCACTTAAAATTATCTTTTTTCTATTTTAAAAGTAAAAAAATCAGTTTATTATTTTGAATAATTAACTGATTAATTAATAAAATTTAACTTAAATTCTTCTTTATTCTTGAAATGATTTTTTTTTGAAATTTTAGTGACATATAAAAAAGAGAAAATTTGAAAATAATTATAAAAAATAAAGTTTAAGTTGAAATTATTTTTAAAAATAAAAAATTTAAGCTTATTTATATAAATATTCCTATATATACTAAAAATAAACTTAAATAGTATATTTATTTATCAAATCTATATAAAATTTAAAGTAAATTGAAAATAATTTATCAAAATAATTTATTATAATAATATTAATAAAATCATATTTTTATTTATATTTTATTATTTTAAATAAATGATTTATTTTTATCATTTAATTTGAATAATATAATTATTTCAATTAAATGATTTTTTAATTTTTATATAATTAAAATAATAATAATAATCATTTTAAATAAATGATATTATTTATATATAATGATAATTTATCATTCTAAATGAATAATAATATAATATTTTAGTTAAATAATATAATTATCATTTAATTAAAATAATAAAATATATTATTTCAAATGTAATAATACAAGAGTTATTTAACTAGAATGATAAAAAAATCATTCTAATTGAATGATTCAATTATTGAATATTATTTCTTTTAGAATGATAATAAATATCATTTCTTAGAAATAATTCAAATTATCATTCTAATAAATGATATAAATATCATTTTTTAAAATACAAAAATAATATATCAGTTATATTTCCTTCTTAATTTTATTATATTATTGCTGATTTTCATCTATATATCAATCAGATGTTAATTGAATATCAATCAGCTATAAATAAGATAAGCAAAATTTTAGCTAATTTTTGATCAGCTATAAGTATGCCAATTGGCTATAAATAATATAGGTTAAATGTTTATTAAATTTTAGCTAATTCTTAATATATATCAATCAGTTAAGCCAATTTTGATAATTTGCTAATTTTAGATTAATTTTATTTATATTTCTGATTTTTTGATTTTGATCAATGTATTGTTATAATTTTTTAAAGTATAATAATATTTATATTATTATACTTTTTTTAAATATTAAAGGTAATTTAAAATTTAATTACATTCTAGAATTATTTAAAGAAAAGCTCAATATAACATCTTAAATATAATTAATCTATTTTAAATATATCTGCTTAAAGATTATTATCTAATATTATAGATTATTATATAATCCTATAGGATCATGTTAAGTTTGTTAAACTATTATTTATATGAATATCAATAGTTTATTTGTATATAATATTATATAATATTACTATAGTAATAATAGTAAAAAATTTAAGAATCTGTAATATTTTCAAATTAACTTCTTGTAAAACTTTACTATTTATCAATAAACTAAATTACTAGTATTTATAATAATTTCTAAGGTAGTATTGATAGAATTAATCTTTGTAATAGTTAATATTATAATTATTAAAACCTGTATTTTACAAATATATAACATTTTGTGAGTTTGATAATTTCAATAAGAGCTATATCTACTTAATACATTTCTGCCACTCGCTATTAAAAGGATTTATTTTACAAATTAATTTTTATTTATCTAAGAATCAATCTTCTTCAATATTTCCTATTACTATTATTCTAATTTTATTTTCTTATATTTTCTCTTCATTTTTATTTCAAGATTCATTTTTTTTTTATTTAATGTTTTTCTTTTCTTTCTAAATCATTATAATATTTCTTTAGTTATTCTTTTTTTTTTGTTTGTTCTTTCTTTTCTTTTCATAGTTTCTAATTTCTTCAGTTATCTTATTTTTTTTATAACTGAATATTAGACTCTTTTTTCAATTATTTTATTATTATCATAAATATTCATTATATACTATTATCATCATTAATTTTATATTATGTATTGTTACTATCATTAATTATATATTATTAATTTAAATTATAAAACATTAAACAATTTATATCATTTACCTTATATCTTTAGTTTTTTTTTAGTTTAGTTCCTTTATTTTCCTATTTTATTTTTATTATTAAGAAATAAAATTAAATACTTAAAAGATGTTTAATTAATCAAAGAGGTCTATTAATATAGATATTATTTAGATAGGTTTATTTCTAAATAAGATAATAAATTTAAAATTATTTCTATAATGATTAGTTCAATTATTTATTATAAAGTTGATAATTATATATAATTCTAGTAATCAACTAATAATTGTCTAATTTTTACTAAGATATTTTTTTTAAAGTGTGGTAGTTTTGTAATATCTTTATTATAATAAATATATATTAAAAATAAAACAAAATTAAACAAATTACAAAATCAAAAAGAAATCACAAAAATTTCATTAGAACTAATCTAGGATTAATAAAAAAAAGACTGATCCTATACTTTTCAAAATCAAACTTAACTTAAACTAAGACTATCATTTTCTGACAAACAAAATTAATAAAGGCATGAACTACTATACTGAAAATTTGACCAGTAAGTTTCTAATTGTTACATAAAAATAATTAAATTACTGTTAAGTAAAAAAAAGGTAGGTTATAAGTAAGAGTATAATCTAAAGAAAAGAAATTATTTATTTTAGATTAAAGATTAATGTTAAAAGATTTTTCAAAATTATAAATAATCAAGCAGCGATTTTTTCAAATAGTATGAGTTTCTTCAAAAATAAAATGTATGAAAAAGGAACAAGTAGCAGAGATTAAGGAATAGGATAGGATTTTACTGTGAATGAAGTTATATTGAGAAACAGAAATGATTTCTTTGATAAAAACAAAGATTAAAGAGGAGTTATAAGTATAAAGCTTCTAACAGTTAAGCCATTCAATTTCACAATCTTATGCATTAATAATGAATTATAATTGATCTTTTGATTGTTTGATAATAAAATTCTTTTGATAGTTAATTACTAGATACATCTAAATATAATAAAATATCTATTAGCTGTATCATATTGAAGATACAAAAATGTAAAAGGATAAAGTAATAGATGTCTAACTTTAAAGACCTTAAGAGTAGACAACATCTCTAAGAGTTATTGATATTTCATTTTTCTAGTATAAGTAGTAGTTTGTAGTATAATATTGTTATTAAAAGTGAATGATGTTGCAAACTAGTAAATGTGATAGATTTTTGATTATCTAAATAGAACATTCAATTTAAGTAAGTTAGAAATTGAGGATTCTTATAAAACTTTTTGATGAACTGATAAATGGGATGATAATAACTGAATTTTAATATGTAAAATAATATCTAGGCATTATGATTTCTAAATTATAGGGCTATTATGTTTAGGCATAATTTTACCAAGAAGTTAACTTTATTGTTAAAGATATTATCTAAGTGAGTTTTAACTTTTATGAGTTTAACATTGAACTTGTGTATGTTAATCAGTTCAAAAAGATAACTTTAATGCACAAATTGTTATTTAATTTTTACTAAGATAATTTTTATCTCTATTTATATAAAATTAATAATAATTAATTTGTAGATCTTTTCTTTAAATCCTATTCTTTTCCTTATAATTCTAAATTCTAATTTCTATTTTTTTTTCTAATTTCTAATTCTTATTCCTTTTCTTATTTCTTATTTTATTCACTAATAATTTTTATTATTATTTTCCTATTTTTAATTTCATTTTATTTCTATTTTCTATATATTTTCTTTTTTAATCACTATTTTTAAGATTATTATGTATCTTATTTATATAAATATATTATTATACATTCTTATGATATTATTATTTTCTATATTTTAAATATTCCTTTAATTTTACTAATTATTACTTCATTTTTCTCTGTTCCTTCAATTCTCATAATAATTTTTCTTTTCTTTCATATTTAAGTATATTCTTATCCTCTTTTTAATATTTTCACTAATTTTCTTTTTAGTAATATAAATTTTACAAGTATTCTATAGTCTCAGTTCATTAGTTTTTTTTCATTTAAGCCTTTGAGTAATATTTATGCATATTCATCAGTTTCTTTTTTTTCTTCTTTTTCTCAATCTAAAAATACTTTAGTTATTTTCTTCATTTAATGACTTTAGTATTTATGATTCTTAGTCTTTTATTTGAGCTTTTGAGTAATATTTATGCATATTCATCAGTTTATTTTTTTTTTCTTTTTCTTAATCTAAGAGTACTTTAGTTATTTTCTTTTTTTAATAACTTTAATATTTATGATTTTTAATCTTGTGATTTAATCTATATTAAATTTTAACTATTATACTTCCTTTTAGTTATTGTATAATATAGGAGGCGGCTAATAAAAAAGGGAAAAATCAACAAATTTTGAATAATTTTAGTTATTAAGCTAGTTTTATTCATATGATTATGATCAATAAAATAAGTTAATAAAAAAAATTTTAACTAAAAAGTGGATTTCCCCTATTTCTACTAACTGTCTCATATTCTAGTTATCATATCACTTCTTGATTATTGTATAATATCTAGTTATTATACTTTCTTTCAGTTATATTATAAGATTTTATATTACTTTTAAGTTATATCATGTTCTGTATAATTATATTTCCTATTAGTTATATCAGATTATTTGTTTTATTATATTATTCTAATTAATTAATTAATTATTATTATGTGATTTTTAGCTAATAGTTTTTCCTTTATAATCTTCTATTTAATTAGTTATTTTTTAATCTCTTAATATTA